CTATTAACAAATGTAATATAGGCAAACATAGAAGAATCACAGGCTAACATAGGAGATCTATTTTCACTCCTTCATTGAATGTGTAGCTGTTTTAAAGGTAAACTTTCATTCCTTCAAATTTGCTTCTCAAGTTAGTCTGCCAAGTTACAGAAATGTCCATTTTGTGTCCATACACTTTCATAACTTCAATTAACATACATGTATTGAACCATGTTATTACCACATCTATCATTAGAAAGATGTGTAATTAAGGCCGTATTAAGCCAATTGGTTTTATTCTCTTCTTTTCTTGCTTCCTTTTGTGTTGCATCTATATTAGGATGAGAAGAATGAATGATTGAACAATGAGCATGTTGTTTGAATGCAGGGTTGGTGTTGAAGGACAAGGTTTGCTTGTGTGCTCCGTCTTGCTTCCCACTATGCAGAACTTTTGAGAATAGTGGTGAATCAGGTAACTTTAGATTTCAAAACTAGCATTTTCTGAGTGAAGACTCCCAAATGGTCGATTTTAGTAATATGCTTATTTTGACTTTGGATTGTGGGTACTGAATATGGCTGGTGTGAATATTTGGTTTGGTAGTTACATGTGGTATGAATGTTTCTATAATTTATGAACTAGGCAGGCCTGTGAATGCAGATTTGAACAAGTTCGTGAAGGCAAAGAGCTTAGTGGGTGCAGAAATAAAAAGAAGGTTAGCGGAGGATATGAGAGGTGCATTGTTAATATGGGAGGTTCAGTCTTTCTTTTCTTGATCCATTATTTATCATTATAGGAAAACTGATGCAGAAGGGAGACTTCCTCAAGAATCACTAGAAGATATCGGTTTGAAGTATGGTGGGGATTTTAATAAGTAAAATGGAACAGAGGTAAAATCATGGTACATTTATTCCCCTGTTTGAATAGTTTATCATGGCTTCAAATGCATACTCTGAAATATCAATTTCTTTATTAAGTCTGTTTAATATAAGGTTGCATTCTTTAGTTTTGGCATTAAACTGTATTTTGGTTTCCAATAGTGAATTGAGCTATTAAAAGTTGCATACCTAGCAAGTATTTTTTTGGTTATTTTCATTTCAGAAGGTGTGATCCTTTGACATGTAGCTCTCTAAGTAGCATAGTATTAATAGGAGAGTAGACAATATGAGTTAAACCATCTTAGAAGGACCTGTAACTCTTGTAGTTAGTGTAAACCATCTTATAGTAGGTAGTTTGAAGTGTGTAACCAGCTAGCATGATGAATTATCAGAGTTTTTTGGTACATGGGACTTCTTTGTTCCTTTTTATAATTATGATCTTTGGGTGAGAAGATGCAATTTGTGAGAGAATCTTGTTCTTGGAATTGAGTTTCTTGCTGTTTGGGAAATTGATCTTCTGTAGCTTGGCAATCTTGTTTTAAGTGATTTTTATATCTCATTCTCTGTTTATTTCCTCTTGTTTTGTGTTTTCAGGGGTTCTCTTTCGTTTGCTTCTTGACAGGTTAAGATGACATGCTCTACATAATGTGGACGATTTAGAAGTGACCTTCTGGATCTTGTTCGAACTTAAACTTTTGTTCAACTTTGAAATTATCCCTTTGATTGCAAATTGTTGTTTTGAGTTTCAAGTAGGTAGGATTTGTTCAATTTTCTTGTAAGTAACTTATAATATCACTTTTGAAGGTTACTTGAAAATAGAAATACAGCATATGTGAAAATTATGCAGAAATCCACTTTTTAATTTTAGTGACGCTTTCAGTCGTCATTAAATCTAGTTTCCCCTGGATTTGGTAAAGCTGTGACGAGAAAGTGGTCACTATTATAGCCGTCGCAAAAACCTTACATTTGACGGGCTCCAAAATGTCTAATGTCAGCAATCGTGACCGCTTCATAAACCGATGCTAGAACAATCACCAGCGGTTAGGCTGGTCGTTGTCATAGATTTGCGGCGGTCGGATTTGCACCGGTTTTACAGCGGTTTTAGTAACCGCTTTCGGGATTGGTAGCGACGGTTTTTTCCGTTGCTAAAAGCCTAAAAAACCCCTGCCGCAAGGAGTTTATTTTGTAGTGATGATGCATATAATAATTAAATTATATATATCATCACATATGGTGTTTAATACATTGAGTATATGTAAGCAAAAATATCTCATATGCTCGTTAATATATGACATAACATTAGGTAATCACATGTATTACATATGGCATATAAATATTAGGTATTTATATTATAAATTATCTTAGAGTTGAACTTGAGCCGAACTTTCAATCTTATTGATGTGTCAAGATTTAATAAATGAGCTGACTCATGTTCGACTCGATTCGGCTCATTCATAAACGAGTCGAACATGAACAAGGCAAAGCTCGGTTCAACTCATTAACAACCCTACGGTGATAATGTATTAATTGATTTATAGCCGACTTGTCACAAAGTGGATATATACAGCAACACGAGAAGCCAAGTACAAGGGAAGCAAAATAGGGAGGAAATATAAAATGTGTGCATTGCCTTTGCTTGTTAGTTGTTGGGCTTTTGTTTTCGCAATGGGTAGAACAGAAGGAAATGAGCTGTTGCTTGCTTGGGTTTCTTCCTCTCTGTTACATTTAAATCTTCAAATTCGTTTTTATATGATTTTCCACGCCTATCCTCTAGACTCTAGCTCCGAGCTCTTTTCAGGACAGCTAATTGTAATTAGCAAGTCACTCCAAATTCAAATCACCGTGTATTATATGAGCATTTTTATTCTATTATACAATTTAAAGTTGGTTAAAGACACATTTGGTCACTGAGATTACAAAATCGGGACATGTTTAGTCACTAGAAAAAGTTAATATCAAATTTGATCACTACAATTACTAAAACTGGACTTATTTAGTCACTCGCCGTTAGTCTCCGTCCAACTCCGTTAATGAAGTCCGTTAAGTGCTGATGTGACAAACAGAATTGCCTAATCAGCCGGATATAACCCAACAAAAATAAAACCCGACCCGCCACGTCATTATAACCCGCCACCTCATTAAAACCAACCCAACCCAACCCATGACCAAACCCTACCCAACCCTTCTTCCTCCTTCCTCCCCAACCCAATTTAGGGTTTTCCCCATCCCATCCAAATTTGCTGAGCGGGGAGAAGATCTCTCCGCCATTAATCTGCCGCCCTTCCTTCATCTTCTTCCTCTGTCATTCCCAATTCCAAAATTTCGAAACAGCTTACCTCATCGGCAACGACGGGACCGGGGGCGTTAACTTCGGCGCTAGGTCCGGGAGCCCCGACCGGAGGAGCGGGAGGGCTCGACAATGAAGGAGAGGGAGCCGGAGATCCGCTCTTCTTCTTCGACTTCTTGCTGGGAGCCGGCGCCGGAACATCAGCAGCGGGAGGAGAGGCGGTAGGCGTAGCGGCGGCGGCGACGGGAGCAGGCGTAGGAGGAGCAGTAGCTGCTGCAGGCGGATTATAACGACGTGGGTTGGGTCATAGGCCTTTCCTTCTTCGCCCTTGGCTGGGTCATCAAAGGCGGTAATCCTCTCCCCTCCTTCAAACCCGACGACGACAACAACAAACCTTCCTCTTCTGTGACCGCCGATGCCGATGCTCGCCGTTGAATCTGGCTCGTGAGTTTCCGCTCTCTTTCTGATTGGATTTTCAGGAATTTCAAATCGGTCTCTCCTTCTCGCTACTATGATCACTGATTTTGCAGTTGGGTTGCCTGTATTTCAGCTGCTTGAATTGGTCGCTTCCAGTGTTCATCCTTCTGTATTGATCATCAACTACGGAAATGTCTGTTTTGCAGGCGAATGAAGAATGAAGAATGCAGACAAAAACCACCATGGGTTGGGTCATGGGTTGGGTTGGGTTGGTTTTAATGAGGTGGCGGGTTATAATGACGTGGCGGGTCGGGTTTTATTTTTGTTGGGTTATATCCGGCTGATTAGGCAATTCTGTTTGCCACATCAGCACTTAGCGGACTTCATTAACGGAGTTGGACGGAGCCTAACGGCGAGTGACTAAATGCGTCCAGTTTTAGTAATTGTAGTGACCAAATTTGATATTAACTTTTTCTAGTGACTAAACATGTCCCGATTTTGTAATCTCAGTGACCAAATGTGTCTTTAACCCATTTAAAGTTGTATCATAATGTTAAAAATATAAATTGAAGTTGTATTATAAAGGAATTCGAACTTTTATGTTATGCTACAACTTCAAGTTGTATATGTGCAACTTCAGGTTGCACCATAACGTCAAATATACAACTTCAGATTGTACCATAAACGCAAAAACTAAAGCACCAATTCTGTAAAGGATAGTAAAATTCCTCATATCGTATTGCATCTCCTCTAGAATGCATACACTTGTCCAGCTCTTTGTTGCCATACTAGGTATAGTCGTATATGTATGTCCATTAAAGCCGTAACAACGAGTGTTTAATTGTACCCGATTCAGTCAACACATGAAATTTTCATGTTTATTGGGTATAGGGCGTTTGCGGGAAAAATCCGTAAATCAATTAGTGAAGATGAAACGAGAATGGTTTTAGACTCTTATGTCCTATTTCGATACGTACCCATATCCGTCTACCAATACTACTACTTCAAGTATTAAAAAACAAACTAATCATACCGTAATTCATCTAAGACAAAATGGTAACTATAGAGCAAAATATTGACTTCTTACATACTGGTAGATATATACCAAATGGATAATTTGAATTAGTGTTATGAATGCCTTGTAAATGTTTTGGTCGAGTTCATGGTTCATCATATTCGTTTAATCTTTTTTTAACTCCAATTCACATGTATATTAAGCTTCATCGTATTTACTAAAGTATAATACTATGAAGCCTACAGCTACAGGGCCGTGTGTATCCAAAAATTACATATATGAGACGAGTATAAATTTGAGTTTTTAAAAATGAAGATGTTAATGGTTTAGAGAAAACCCACTCCATAACCATCCCTATCTCCAACTGGATTTATATATATTCAGCAATATAAGACTACATCCGGAAAAAAAAAAAAACAAATGAAAGGGTTTGGCACGCAATTAGGCCCGTTTTGTCTGCTAGGTCCTATATACAAGAAACCAACCAGCCCAATTCATGCATCCATGTGCCTCTGCCCGCACTATATAAATCATCTTCTAGCTACAGTTCCCATTTGTGATGTCCCCAACAAGTAGGATTGGTAGAGAATTGAACATAAATAGGGATGTAGACAGGAAAATATGCAAATACAGAATAACAGGAGGGAAGATGGAACTTGAAGCAGAGAAAACGAGTAACTTTCTTAATATTCGGCATCATTTTATCCGATTAAGTACACTTGTATAGACTCCGACACGAAATTCTAATCAACCTGTCAACTAAATATACTAAAATACCCTTAAAGAATACGTAACAAATAGAGTAGTAACATGGAAATGTGGAGAGGCGCGCGACGCGTAAGCTCACCAAGGTGGTGATTATTCTATGAGCTTTCACCTTCTGTACCCAGTATGCAATGTGCAACTACGTACAGAAACAATAACCAAAGGAACGAGAACCTCACAGAACAATACTATAGCAGTATAGCTATACCACCCCACTTTCTTTTCCTTCATTCCAACGACCAACATCATATAGAAAGGTGAACAAACAGTTGATATATGGTTGCAGAGCCTTTGCATCTGTATCATTTGAAGACCAAGTTGTGGCAAGTCTGGTCGCATGGATACGCACAGTCGACAGCTCGTGCTGCTGAACGCCCGAAATACCAATCCCCAACCGCTAGAGCAATGGCCTGTAACATCACTTCTTTGGTTAGATTCAACTAGAACTAGCTAGAGAAGAGAAGGAACCATGCAAAGTAAACATGAACTTCAAAGCCTGCCTAGTCCTAGACATTACTAGCCATTAGGTGCATGGGGAAGAAAATGATTGGTCACCTTGTTCCGGATGACAGGAGAATCATCAGCGAACCACGTATCCTGTCTCTCCGTTTGGCAGTGGGCGAAACACGAGTTGATGAACATCCCGTTCGCCTTAGACATTGAAAATCTTCTCACGGTTCTCAACATTCGGTTCCTGAAACCTTTTTTTTAAAAGGAGCAACTAAGTCAGGTTTGATCAATCATCACGTCCGACCAATTTGGTCATTCCCAATCAGCAGCTTGTCATGTTATTAGTTACATACCTTGCAGAAATTGGATTTGTGATGGATTACATCTTGCATTGTTCTTTCTACAGTCATTCCAGAGGCCATGGGGATCTGCAGAGGGTGGAGCTAAACTGGACTGGATCTGGCTCAACCAAACAACAACCAGGTCCAATTCATATAATAAGTTTCTTTCTGGAAATCTTAGGGGAATAGATAACAGCAATCGCATGCACGCTCAATATACAATGGGGCTCACCTGCCAGGAATCGTAGGCCGCATTGAGAATGAACAGCGGCGTTTTAACGCTAGCAATTATGTGCTGAGGGAAGAAGCACTGACGCGGGAGAAAAGGTGACCAGTTCCGGCAGTTAGTTATTCATCCAACTACATGAATGCCTCACCCAGACCCCAAACATACGTAGAACTAAAAGAGAATAACATAAGATGAAATGGAGGATGTGTTAATAATGCCATACCAGAGTTGGATCCAGATGGTTGGTGCACACACGAGGTAGGTTCTTTCCCACCCCCTGTTAATGTTGAACATCACAACTTTAGATATCATCAAGGCTCAACTTAACTAGACATGAGATATACAAAGAGAGGAGCAATCAGCAAAATTGTGCTTGAGACTGTACCTGCAAACTCACTACACCACTGTACATGTTCCTGAGGGTACGGACCCCAGCTACGTCGAGTCTGTCCAAAACCAAAAGCCAGACCGAGTCAAGGAACAGCCCATGAACGACTCGAGTGTGAGGCAGAGAAGGGAAAGTACAAAACATTAATTAGAAGGAAAAGGTCAAAGGAACTTACGAATCAAGAAACAGGCCAGCATCACTCAGGCACTTCACTTTGGTTGTCCTGGGGAACAATTCACTGAACTCGTCGCAGTGTAGAATAGTAGCCAGGCCCCCAGCAGAGCACCCTGAGAGAAGAGCCTGAAATGCAACCACGCACACCTTAGTTACTTACTAGTTACAACCAGGTACTGCAAACGACGTGTTAAATCAAAGGAGACAACAGAATAAGGGAAAGGAAAGAAAATAGAGACCTGGTGGGCATTGCGCATTCCCTTTGACATAAGATCTTGCATTGCAGCTACCCAAATCCGCTGCCCTCTAAATTGCAGCTGTGCTGCCTAAACATTTAAAATATCAGAGGGAATTCTCATGTCATTAAAGTGCCATTCAATGTAAAGTGCAGTGCTCAAGACATTAAACTAAAGGGAACCAACCTTGTTTTCACTGTCGCCGAGAAATGAAGCACCATCGCAGTACCGGACCTTTACACGATTCCAGTTGTAGAAATCTGTATTGCCAAACAAACACCGGTGAAGTTAGCCAGGTGACACCGACGTTGAAGTCCTACCAATTGGCATAATCAATTCGGTAGCTGGAAGTTTATCATCATGTTAAATGTCTGAACAGAATAGAATATGTGGTAGATTGATTCTGTCTCTCTCAAATGAACAGACAAGCTCTATCAATTCTAAAGTGAGTAATCGTGGGCAATAATAAAGTAACGAACCAGGGTTTTCTTCAGCTCTATTGCTCAAGATCCCCGTGAAAGCCAATTGCTTCTCCATGTATCTAGATGAACCACGTCTGGTAGTTTTGCGGTATACACAGGTTCTAATGCTGTTGCACCACCCTCCTCCCTGCATGCACAAGTTAAAGGGGCACCAAATGAAATGGGTTCTTTCGCTATAAGCCAGAGCCATTCAGTTTCCAAAAGAGAAGGCTACTTTCCAGCTTCACACCAATTAGGAAAAGCAAGTCAGTCAGTCAGCTAGGGTTTATATTACAATCATGAGTCCCCTTAAAAGTAATCGAATCCTCAAGGACTGCTTGTATTAGCTAGGTAGAAAGTGTCCAAACAAACCTCCAATTGGATTAGCCAACTATTTGCTCCAGAGCCAAATCCACGGTGTAAATGATACCCAGGCAAGGTTCCATCCAAGCAAACTGCCAGATTCATTCCAAAGAAAGAAGCAAAAATGGAAGCAGACAATGATTAGGACAGCAGAAAACTCCATCGGTCGACATTGGCATGGCAACAAAGTTACTGAAGCATTCTGTATAAATAATACAACTAGAAGCAGCAAATTAGGCAAGTGTGTCAACTAGCTTTCCTGCTTTTGGGTTTTGCCCGCTGCAAGAGAGAAAGAGGAATGGAAAAAGCATAGCGCAGAAGATTACCAGCTCCTGTGGCCGCAGCTGCAGGGATGAGGGTGAGACCGACCATTAGCGGAGAGTAAACCGCTTTGGATTCATTACCGTGAAACTTGGGGGAGTAAACACCAGTGACATTGGTGTATATCAACGCCGCCTCTTCAGCTTCTTCGTACACTCGCTCCCCATGGAACCACCCATCTCCCGTCGCCGCTGTAGCAGCCGGTATCCCGACGACCACCGCCCAGACCCAAATCATGAAAACCCTGCTGCTCACCATTTCCCACCTTCCAATCTCGCAATCAGGAGAAGAAGCAGGCAGCTAGAAAATGGAGATGGAAGCGTGTCGGCGGGAGGAGGAATGCCGCACAAAATGCAGGGTGGGAGTGGGGCTGGCTGGCTGGCTTGCTTTCCTCTGTCCCCTTCCTGCTACGTGCTCATCATATATAGTTAACTGGGTACTACTTGACAACACTAGTGGGCTACAACTTTCACTCCCCTTTTCTTCAAAAAGTTAAATTATTTCACAACTGTAGCAATAAGCTTCGGAAAAATGGAGAGCAGGAGATGGACTAGGAAGGGAGTAGAGTAGAAGAAGAAGAAGAAGGCAAGCAAGGAAAAGGCCAATACTTATTATGCCAGATCTCCCGGAATCAATCCATCAATTAAGCATGAAAAAGTAGAATAATAATGTGAACCCCTCCTTAGTCCCAATAATTCGAGTTATCGGATTAAGACCGGTGACCACCGGTGTGACTGGGTTCTGCAAGTGGGTGGCTCCAGTACTATGTCTGTACTGTTTGGGTGTGTACCTGTTAGGCGGATCAGCTGCTTTCCTTTGCCGGGCTTTTTCCCCTTTGGATTTATATATAATCTAAGTGTCTGGGATCTAACTTTAATCAAGGTAGGTTTGTTTGATTGGTTGTATGGCTGTATCCCATTCCTCTCTTTTTTTAATCCTTGGTTTAGAATATTATGCAGAGACAGAAGGGACAGAGGTCCATTTGCAGTCTGCAGAGGTCACGTTCCGGAAGCTACCTCGATCGAACGCAGACTTTTCTCTCCGGTGAATTAAATAATCGCCGGAAAGGAGAATGCTGGCCGGAAAGGAATTAATTACATGCCGAGTAACGCGCCCAAACCCTTAACTCCCGTCATTAGTTTACTAATTATTGATCCGGTTAGAATTACGTCGAGGATTAACGCAAACAGTGGGTGGGTAAATATTCCTTCAGTACAGTTGAAAACAACACTTCAACTGGAGAAGAGACGTGGACCGTCTCAGTCGCATCAACCATCCGTCAATTTTTAATAAATAAATGTAATTAAATCGAATAATGACAAGGTTGACAATCGGTTCGGCGCACGGCATGGGGGCTTTGTGGAGGTTGGATCTTCGGCGCTGGCGCTGGCGCTGGGCCCGCACTTAAACCCGCCCATCTTCATTCGCAGCACAAATTAAGGAAGAGCGGCTGCGGGCCCCTGGGCTGGGCCGGGCCCATCTTCATAACATGCACTCGATTCACTTGCGTATTGGCTTCCACTATCTAATTTGGAATCTAGTAGTTTCCTTTTTCATGGAGTGTGAAAGTGTTCTCTCTGGGATTTTGGAGCCGTGACAAGGTGGGAAGTAGTGGGTTTTAGTTTTGCTGGTGATGTTGATGAATGGAATCAAGGAGAGAGTAGTGGCGATCATCAGCAATTATTGTTCAAACTTCTGGTAAGGGACTCGATTTGTGGATATCATATGCAGCATATAATCAGGGCCGCAGATGGGCAGAACTGCTCGCGAGCGGTTGGGTGTTCAATTCAGGAAAAATTCGTTTGAAACTTGCGCTTGTTTTAGCGAGCCAAGTTTGAGGTAAACCTTTTATTAATACGGAAGAAAGCTTGGGATGGATGCATATAGTATAATAGAGTTGACTTTCGCAGGGAAACACCATGTACTTGAATACGGAAGAAAGCTTGGGATGGATGCATATAGTAATAGATAACCAGACAATATGCTGTAACTGTCACAGAAGATCATTTATTGCTTAGCATGTAAGAAGATTTTCACTTCATCAACCATCCTGAACTGCAACCAACAACAGAAGAACTGGCAATGATTTCAAACAAATAGGCCAAAATATTAAAAACACCAAACACCAACCCTCCCTCACAAATTTCAGGTGTTCTATATGCTACTTCACTGTACAACACATACACAGTTTACCTTTCCTATCAACGTATACCACCTTGCTTGCTACCACTTACATTTCCCCTTCCCATTACAATCCAATATATGAACAAAATGTAAAGGAAAAAGTGAAAACACCATGGACACACTCCTACCATCTTCCTACTGAGGAAACTCCAAGAGGTACAACCAAAGGAAACTATAACAATGACCATCTGAACCGATCCAAATCCAACAATGACGTAACCCCCCCACCAAAGCACAACCAAGCCACCCCCTACTAGCAACAATCAAACCTAAGAACTGACTCTCAAATAATGAGAAGATAAACATAATTGGTGACCCGTTATTCCAACCCTTCCCCTCCTCTTCCATAGCTTTTATGAAGTGTGCGAGGTAATCGTGTTGGTGTTTGCTTTAGTCGACAGTTAAGACCTCCTGCTGCTGCTCTCGCCTCCAGGTGCTAATGGGCGATCGCTGTCTGAATTCTCCTTTTGAGATTCTGTCTCCATACTACCTCCCGGGGCTCTTCGATGTCTTCTATCCTGATTTTGATGAAACAAAATGTCAACATTCATTCAGTCTACTAGATCGGTATATGATACGATAAGATCAAAGGAGGAACACAAGAAATGGAGGACAGAGCAGAGTGGAAAGCGGAGGATTTATCAACATCACCTCTCTTGGAATAGGATATTCCTCGGACTCCAGCATTCTTACAACTTGCCCCATCTTTGGTCGTTTCTCAGAGTCGGGATCCACGCATCTCAAAGCCGTCAAAAGGGCTCTCTTCAGATTTCTTGTTGATGGTTTCGTCTCCATATTGGGGTCCACAACTTCTTCCGACATCCTGCTCCCCACCATCATTTTCAGCCAATCAACAAGATTTACCTACAGCACAAACGACAAACAAACCCTCAGTGCCACATAGTAGAGCTCAGATTCTGAGGTAGAATTGTAACTTTTTTGTAGGCAGAATTGACTTGCTTGCTTGCTACAGTTAACAAGCTTGAACAATGATTGGTTCAGAATGCAAACAGTATATGTGCAAATGCATACCTCATTTGAGGGACGACTGTAGTCTACCGGGTCTCTTCCTGTGATTGCTTCCAAGACCACAACCCCAAAACTATAAACATCGCTCTTTTCATTCAGAAGGCCACTATTGGCATATTCAGGTGCCACATATCTGCAATGTTATTTACTTCCTTCGTTTAAAATGACATGTACAGTTCTACAAGCATTACCATGAATCAACAAATCTGAAGAAATAAATCACTGACCCAAAAGTTCCCATCACTCGAGTAGTGACATGGCTTTTTCCAGCTCCAAGCAACTTGGCCAAACCAAAGTCAGAAACCTTGGCGTTGAAGTCATCATCGATTAAAATGTTGCCAGATTTAATGTCACGATGCACCACTTTTGGCTCAATGGCCTCGTGCAAATAAGCAAGCCTGCAAGAAAACCAAGCAATGGAATATCCTGTAAGAAGAACATACGGGGAAAAAAAGACTTGTTCGTGAAAAGAGGGTGAATAGACATCTTACGCCTTGGCTGTGCCGAGGAGAACTTTCATCCTGGCCTCCCACGTAAGATATCCATGGTGTGACATGGCTCCATGAAGCCACTGTTCCAAGTTTCCGTTGTTCACGTACTCATAAATCAACATCCTGTATGAATGAGGACAAAAATTGAAGGACGTGAATCCAAAATTAATATAAGCAAGGACGCAAGCTGCCCAAAGTTAGCGCCTGCGCTCCTCTCATAATATCGACACCTTTCTCCACCGGTCGCTTTCGCTTAGCGGCTGCAGACCCCAAACGGCAGAGAAGAAACGGGACAAGGACTTAATGTCCTTGGTTTGGTCTGGAGAAGATATTGATATTCATAAACTTAAGGATGACAGAGTTTGTCATAACTCATAAGGATTGTTACAGAATACCAAGTGTGGTAATTATCAATAGAACAGTTGATGGTTTGGATTGGAACGCTCATGAAAGAGTTTGGTAATAAATCATAGAATAGTTTAGTGTTTTACATATTTGGCTCTCTAGCCTTGATTGCTATTATCAGGTTTACCACGTTTGCTGCGTTGAGAAGGAAACGCATGGACAAGCTAGGTAACTAGTCTTGCATTAGATAAGAAAACTTGTGAAATGTGAATACTATTCAAGCTCTTCTGATCTGGCATATTACTGAAACTAGAAGGAATTAATGTTGTAAGTAACTACAAGATCATAAATGGAGATGAAGACAAACGAAAGGTGCCAGACTGAGAATATACTGATGGTATGATTGACATTGCATTCTATTAACCATCTGTAAACTGGCAAAGATATTTGCTCACTTCTTTCATTTATGCTGATATTCGTTTTACTTCCTCGGTGGAGAATATTGAACACTCGTTTTACTTCCTCAGTGGAGAATATTGAACACACTGAGATTCTATCTATGGAAAAAGAGCTATGAATAAGGATGTCCATCTAAACCATTAAATCAGTTCCCAACTTCAACATAAGGCTCCTTCTCTTTTTGACTACTTTGCTTGCATTGTTCAATTATTTGGTCACCTAACTGTTGCTGAGACTTAGTGATTGCATGTCTTTCAACCATCTAATTTCCTTAAGTTCTATTTAGGGTTAATAGCCCAGTTTGGCCTGCACTTGACTAGAATACTAATTTGGCCTTGACTTTTTGAAATCCTTAACTTGTCCGTATTCTAAAAATAATTGACATGTTTTGGCCCGGTCATTCAATTGACCGTGAAATTTAACAGTCAATCTTCTTGACCATTAATGACACGTCGGTTATGGCTAACGTGGATGCCACATCGCCAACAAGAATTATAAAAAAAAGGTATCCAATAATTAAAACAAATAAGGAACACATTTTTTATTATTTCCAAAAAATTATTTTTTCGGTGGAACAAATCCAATTCCCACATTGGAGAACTATAAAAAAATTTATTGACATGGCATCGACATCAGCCATGACCAATGAGTCACTAACAAAGTAACAATCAAAATGATTGACCGTCAAAAGGTCAGGCCAAAAAACCAGACATTTTTTAGAAAAATTCGGACCAAGTCTTTTTGTGCAAAGTTCAGGCCAAACTGGGGTATCAACCCTACTGTTCAATTTATCTTGATCATCACAATTTGAGGTGGCAAATGAATTGGATTGGTGAATTCATAAATCCAAATGACATTCAAACCTTGGACCATTATTATTATTATTATTATTATTATTATTATTATTATTATTATTATTAATCAAGACATTTTTACTGGTGTTTCATTAGAGAATTAAATTTTAGGTATCAAATTGTTAAATACTAAAACTATATGTACTGAATTGTTATTTTTTCAACAATCTATGAATCCATCAATCTAATTGGATTGGATCAAATGGGTTGGATTAATATGGATTAGATTAGTTTGAATATTTAATTAGATGGGTTGAGTTGGTTGATTGGATTCAAATTGTCTACTCACAACTCACAAGTGAAAGGTGTTCCTATTTTATCAAATTTGAACAAGTGTATACCAACTTATGTGTATTGGACGGCTGATAATGCATCATGTTAATGGGGTTTTTTTCCACAATATTTCTGCCCGTTGCAATATCAAGAGTGAAACCCAGACATTGCCATTTTATCACATTAAAAATGACTCGGTCTGAAAATTATTCAGGGACAGAAATGTTAGCTTACAAACACAAAAAAGACAGAAAGATTTTAAATAGTTTATTAACCAGGCAATTTAATCATGCAATCAGATTACTCCAGTAGCAACATGGACTAATTAACTAGTGGCAACTAAAAAGACAGTCCTTCTGCAGTAACTTCTATTCTAGAATTATAAACAAGCAGAAAAGAAGGCGAAAGTGTACCTGTGAGTGCCTTCTATGCAATACCCAAGAAGACGAACCAAATTCTTATGGCGGACATGCCCAATCGCGTCAACTTCGACTCTGAATTCCTTCTCAGCTTGGCCCCTTAAAGAACAGACAGTAATCAGCTGTAAGGTTCAGGGAGAGAAATATTCTGGCAAAATGGCAAATGGATATTAACACGATAACTACAAAAAGCACACCCACAAGTTGTTGAGAATCTTCTTGACAGCAACGGGAGTGCCATTGATGAGATTTCCACGGTAAACAACTCCATAGCCACCCTCACCAAGGACATTCTCTTTAGAGAAGCGGTTGGTAGCCAATTCGAGATCCCTGAGTGTAAACCAATGACCCCAACCCAAGTGAGAGAATTCAGGGAGCCCACTGAGCGGAGAAGGAGCAGTGATCGGGTAATGTTGGGAAGCAACAGAGGAAGCCCTGTAGACCGCGCCAGCTGAGCTGCCTCCTTGATCACCAGAGTGGGAAACAATGCCGCCTTTGTCATATTGATGGAATGAACCACCCGACTGACTGTTGTTGTCACCATCGCCATTGGAGTTCGCGTTGCCGTTACCATTCTTGGACTTGGGCATGCCGAGATGGACAAGGACCTTATCAGCATCCTTGTCGCTCGACTTGTCATGGATTGTTAGAAGGATTCCTTCACGAGGGACGAACTCGTCCGTTGAGATTTGCTCCACTCGGACTTCCTTGATCTCCTTGGACTCGGACGGGATTTGAGAGAGCGGAAGCTGCTGCTGGTTCTGGTTCGGGTGCGAGATTCTTTTGGTGGAGGAAGACTTCTTACGAGAGACTAGGTAGATGGAGACAGTTAAGATGAGGATGATGAAGAGTGCAATGCAGATGCAAATGAGCTCCCATACTTGGAGACCTAAAATAGTCTTCTGCGACATATCGGATTTCAGACTGCCTGCCATTTTCCTGGATAATGGGAGAAAATCTGAGAGCGAAGAACAGAAAAACGACAACTGCAGAAGTCTTGAGACAAGATCAACTGCCTATGGAAGCATGCACTTGTGGCATACCTAGGGACACATGGATTCCTAAGTAGGCCATCAACTGCCACATAAAAAGCACCCACATATAAGGGCCTCCACGCTTACCTTGTTCCACGGGTGATCCTTTATCTGAGGCAACTGGTAATCTGTGTAATTTGGGTTCATACACTTGATCTCTTCCGTTGTTGGAATACCCAAATCCTACAGATAGAATAACAGAGTCACATTGCATGCCACCGGTAACGACCCAACTCGACTATTACTTAAGTGAAGATCAGAAACATGAAACTCTTTAACAAAAAACTAACTCATCGGTTACCTTAATAATCTCCACAAGCCTCACTCCAGGGAAATAGAGGCTGCAAAAATCACAAATAGAAATGTTGCTGATTGTGCTGGATTATGCAGACAGATATCTAGAAACCCATGACTGCTCAAAGAAAATATCACACCTGTCCAAGCAGCAGGTCAGCAAGAACACAGCCGGCAGACAACCCCCAATATCAATCAATAGCTTTATAAGCTCCAGAGCTCTGCAATGTGTGAATCCCCCTTTCACCTGCTGAGACCCAACAAGCAGAAAGTTCAAAAGACTGTAAATTCTGTACAATCAAACAAAAGGCAGTGAATGCCATTAAGAAAGCACCAAAAGGAAGACCTTTTCACTGCCAAAATCAGATAAAAATTAACCTGATGTGTCAAGGATATACATACAGGCGGCATAAAACCGAAACAAGAAAAATGCACGCAGAGATCCGCATACAGCCAAAGGGAGAAAGAGCAAACCAACTGGTGAAACGGAAGTTCATAGTTAGAGAATTGAACAGCGGAAAGTAGCTCGTAAAGCAGCAATGACAGACCCAGCACGCCATATTCAGGGAAGAAATCAAAGAGAGAATCAAAACCCAGCAAGATCTGTACATATACAAGCCGATCTAAACACCCCAAAAGCCGAGCGGAGGAGGAACGGAAGAACAAAAGTCAAAGGAAGAGAAATGCGGAGAGGCGAGGTGGGAGGAGTAAGAACTGCGACTTACCGGCGAATGCAGAAACGGCGATGAGGGGAGAAGAATCAGACAGCGGGGAGAGAAGGAGAAGGAGAAGGAGACGATAGATCCATAGACGTTGGTGCTGCTGTTTCTGGTGGAAAGTTAATCGTCTAGTCACCTAATTCGCTTCTCTCTAGCTTGCCGCTCCCGCTTTCGAGTGCGATTAGTTCGGCAGTGGACTTGCCAAAAATCTAGTATTTTCGTTTTCATTTCCTACGGAATTTGTTCCAAACGGTAGTGTAAATTTACAAAGTGCGATTTGAATGTAGATTTGATTTCGAAAATTCACCGTTTATATATTGTCATAAATTTAGTGTTTTTATTCTCATTTTCAATGAATTTGTTTTTTCAAAGAGACTGTATAATTTTATTGAGTGTGAGTTGAGTGTAGATTTAATTTGAAAATTCACCTCTTGCATATTGACAAAATTAAATAAAAGTTACGCTTGATTGAGACCTATTTATCTTTGCCAAATATTATATAAACATTTTGCTTAATTGTTAATGAACCAACTGACCTAAATCATGTTTCACACAATGTCTAAAAAAATCATTATAGTGGGAACTGGGAAGCAATATCTTTTATGGCCTGAAAAATGAGTATGGAAAATCCATATGATATAATTGAAAGGTCTTGCCTTTTCTTAGATGGCAAAGCGATGATCGAGTAGTATGTCCGTTAGTATTATGTGCTAAAATCAATTTTTTATGGTTATGTATTTACTAACACTTCTTTTCTTCATCGATTTCGAACCAAAGGTCGGTATCCAATAAATTATGCGTGATTGAGGTGCCATGAAATTTCTTTTAAAAATTGAAAAATCGTTTGTAGAAAATAATCCATAACTAAAGCAAGTAAAAAACCACCCCAGACTTAAACCAAACATAAAGTAAAAGCACGAAAAATAAATAATTGAATATGTTCAAAAAACAAAAGCCAGAGTCCAGTCTTTACCAACCAAGCAACTAAAGGCATTGTCTAGGTAGAGTTTAACAAATTAACAAATCAGTTAAATCATATATTAGCTTAGTTTTAATTCCTATCCTTCAATAATTTCCATTCATTAATGGTATAGGCGATTTCTCGATTACAATAAGCTAACAGAAATATATGTGATTTATCGTATACTAAATCCAATTATACCGAGACAATATTTCATCAGTAGCATGCATATTCAAAATATACATGGCTCTTGCCTTGGTGATCTAGATACATATCCACGGTTTCTTGAATTAATTCTCCCAAATAATCAAGAATTTCTCCATAAGATTAATGGTTGAAGTTAGACGAGAAAGAACAACAAGGTCTTGAATCAAAACTCAGTCGAATATTATCGAACCATGATATGCAATCTTGGAACGTGGTTTCACTAGTCTAAACAACAAGGGTGTTCGGTGTTCCAACCCCTCCTAACCACAGAATATCACATAATGATAATAACAAAGAAGAAAAGAATTTCACTAACATGTCATCTTGTGTGATCGGATATCGTGACGGTCTGTGTCCTCCCTAGAATTGGATGTGGGCAACAATGAATGTCCATCAAGCTTTGATCTTTCTAAGTATATACTCACCACAAACCTCTATTATGATAGTAACCAATTCGTACACGTTGGGGATACTTATAGCTTTTTTATTATTATTATTGCCTGTGGAAGTGGAAATGGTGGGCTATCATCAATTAAGTCAAACGTTTAACTACATTAGTTTGTATGTCTTGTTCTAATTGTCGTTAGATGACACATCATTGTAAAAGGAAATAGGGGAAAACAAAACCGACATTCTGAGAATTTCACCAATTCTTAGTAAAGCCGTGGTGGTGGTGAAGGTGGTTGGAGAGGGACGAGAGATCTCATGTCGACTTCCATCTTTATTGTTGATGCTCTTTCGCTATCTAAGGTATTCGAGACGGACGGTTAAACTCAATTGAATCATTACATGTCTACATATATTAAGTTCAGTCGGCCTCGAAAGTGTATGGTGGAGGTATTCCTGTATATCGAGTGGTTCAATGAATACCTATTAATTCTTTTATTTTGTGTTTAGCGAGAAATCATGTTCAATCATGGTTAATCCTAAAAATTTCTTGCACCATTTTATAACATAATTAAGGGTTTCATAACACAAATATAACTTTAACGAAAAATATATATATGAGAATGTTGATCGACGACTAGCACAAATATTAATTAACATATTCAAACGCATCATCATAATCAATCAATTGTACACCACAAGTTTATTATACAATACATAATTGAATCAACTAACAGACCTACAATAAAATCCGCCTAATATTCAGAGGTCATATGCCGAAGGACATCTTGACACACCTCATTGTTGGTCTGCCATGTATACCTAGATCAAGGGGTGGGATTCGGTCGGTAAACGGTAAATTATTTACCGAATTTACCGGTTTCGGTATACCGAAGTTGGTCAAATTGGTTACCGATTACCGATACCGATTTGTAACCGGTTTACCGATTACCGAATTACCGGTAAACGGTTACAAACCGGTATTACCGAAATACCGTGAGAAGCGATTTCAGGGGGTTTTTCGGTCGGTTTACCGAATATTTACCGAACCGAATTTCTGGAAGTGGGGTGATGTTGTAATATTTTGATATTTTTTAGTTTTTTCATCATTTTTATAATTAATAATTTATTATTAACTCTTATTTAAAATATTTTTGAGGCATATACTTACTTACATTCATGTATGTAATATTTTAGGACTTTGCTACGGTGACATGCATGTCACGGTGACATGCATTTTTCGGTCGACCTCATATAGGATCAGGTCGACCTAATCAGTTGTTTCAGTGTAAAAACAGTTTCATGGTGCCTACTTTGGAGATTCATATCTTACAATTGGCTAGATGGAAATTGAAGATTAAAGGTTTGTTTTGAAGTTGAAGTGTCCCTCTACACATTAAAGTACTTGGGAGCTCAATAGAAAGTCCAGAAGACCATTTTTGAACCTGACCAAAAGGCTATGCCAAAGCTGGGAAACTGCCTGAAAATGGCTAAGTCTGGCAACGTGTTTGTCAAGCCTACTTTGGAGCTCAATTTGAGAAGTATGGATGCGAGTCAAGTCCAGGGGCCTCTACCACGTTAAATTACGTATTTTTTATACAAAGGCAAGGCATTGAATGAAAGATTGAATATCTTTAAGGCTTCAAACAAAAGGCTCGAAGTTGCTACGAAAGCTGTTTTTCTGGCAGCTTGCTTGTGCTCGAAGTCTGCCAGAAAAACAGCCTTCGTAGCAACTTCGACCCTTTTGTTTGAAGCCTTAAAGATATCCAATCTTTCATCCAGTTCCTTGAATTTGTATAAAAACATACCTAATTTAACGTGGTAGAGGCTCCTGGACTCGACTCGCATTCATGCTTCTCGAATTGAGCTCAAAAATAGGCTTCACAAACACGTTTCCAGACTTAGCCATTTCTAGGCAGTTTCCCAGTTTTGGCATAGCCTTTTGATGAGGTTCAAAAATGGTCTTCTGGACTTCCTATCGAGCTCTCAATCACTTCAATCTGTAGAGGGACACTCCAACTTCAAAACAAGTCATTAGTCTTCAATTTCCATTTAGCCAATTGTATGATATGAATATCTAAAGTAGGCACCATGAACTGTTTTTACACTGAAACAACATATTAGGTCGACCGGATCCTATATGAGGTCGACCGAATCCTAAATGAGGTCGACCGGATCCTATATGAGGTCGACCGAATTCTAAATGAGGTCGACCTAATCCTAACTGAGGTCGACCGGAAAGTGCAAGTCACCGTGACATGCATGTCACCGTAGGCACACCCAATATTTTATATTTGTGAATAATGATGTATATGTTATATGTTAGTGGAGTAGGGAGGGGGGATTTCGGTATCGGTATTACCGATTTACCGTCGGTATTTACCGATACCGTGTCCGATAAACCGACTCCTCCAACTTCCCGCTCGACTGCCGATACCGCCGGTAAATGGTTTACCGTTTACCGCCGGTTACCGGTTCGGTAAAACGGTAAACCGTTTACCGGATTACCGTTTACCACCCCTACCTAGATCAATTTCATTTGTTTTTTTCGGATGTAGTCTTATATTGCTCAATATATATAAATCCAGTTGGAGGTAGGGATGATTATGGAGTGGGTTTTCTCTAAATCATTCACACCTTCATTTTTAAAAACTCAAATTTATACTCTGTCTCATACATGTAAATTTGGGATACTCGCGACCGTGTGGGCATAATAGTATTCTCCTTTAGTAAATACGATGAAGCTTAATATACATGTGAATTGGAGTTAAAAAAGGCTTAATTTACCTGCATGGTTATAACTTTCACGATTTTGATAAATATAGTCATTTTTTGAAAAATACATAGAAATAGTCATTCCGTTAATAACTTTAACGGCATAGTGAGATATGCTAACTGGACTAACGTTTTCTGATGACATGACAACTTTTTTGTCTAAAACAATTACAAATGGAAATGTTCTCTATTTATTTAATTAATTACATAAATAAATAAATAAAAATAAAACAAAAATAAAAAGGGAGATGAAACTATCAACCTCCAATTCCCCACTTTACTCTTCATCTCGTTCGTCTGCTAACTCATCTCCCCCGAAGTCTGTCTCTCTTCATCTTCTTTATCTTCTCTGATTACTGAGCGCAGCCACCCTCTGCCGTCGTTGAGTTCCTAGGATCCGCGCCATCGTTGTTGTCAAATCCTAGCAATGGGAGAACGACCCATCTTCGCTTATCCGAGTTATCAGCGCTGGATCTAGGGCGTCGTCGAGAAAGAGCAAAATGTTCCTCCATTCCTCCAAATACAGTCGCACTAGCGCTGCCTTTGGAGCTGATTAGATCTAGCCTCTTTATTCATCGTCGTGGGGCTAGTGGTGTGAGGTGGAGAGAGGAAGTTGAGAGGGATAAATGGTGAGGTTTCTAGGTCGCAATCGGATTTTCGAGAGATGGATTCTTGTGGGTTTTGTGATTTGGTACGACGAGGGGAGAAAGAGGGAGAGCTCCGAACTTTAAATCGGAAATCGATTTTGAGAACTGCAAATGAAGGGGCAGAGCTCTAAGCTCTGGTTTTGCGAGATCTGGAGAGTTGGAGTAGCCGGAGGAGACAAAACTTCTTCGCCGGCTATATTGGTGGGTGCGGCGACGAGGCAGTGGTTTGGTGTTTTC